CTCCTGACCTCAAGTGATCCACCCACCTCAGCCTCCCAAAGTTCTGGGATTACAGGCATGAGCCACTGCACCCAGCCTATACTTATGGACACAAGATTTTATATCAACTTATAGTACGTTCTGATTCATAGTAACCAGTACTGTGCCTTGACCACAGCAGGTACTCAAACACGGTCTGAAGGAAGGCACACCATTTTAAAAAGATGGCTCTAGACGGGGCTGGAGATAGCTACAATAATAGGTAACATTCACGATACATGATGTGGTGATCAGGGAAGGATTCATGAAAGAGATGGCATTTGTGAGGAGTCTTGAAATAAGGGTAGGAATTAGAAATTGAGATGGGATGCCGGGCACAGTGGCACACGACTGTAATCCTAGCACTTTGGGAGTCCAAGGTGGGTAGATCACCTGAGATGAGGAGTTCGAGACCAGTCTGGCCAACATGGTGAAACCCAGTCTCTACTAAAAGTATAAAAATTAGCCAGGTGTGGTGACACATGCCTGTAATCCCAGCTACCTGAGGCAGGTGAATCACTTGAACCCAGAAGGTGGAGGCTGCAGCATGCTGAGACTGCACCACTGCACTCCAGCCTAGGCAACAGAGCAAGACTCTGTCTCAAAAAGAAAAAGAAAAAGAAAGAGAGAGACAGAGAGAGGAAATAAAGAAAGAAAGAAAGAAAAAGAAAGAAAGAAAGAAAGAAAGAAAGAAAGAAAGAAAGAAAGAAAGAAAGAAGGAGAAAGAAAGAGAGAGAAAGAAAGAGAAGGAAAGAAAGAGAAAGAGAGAAAGAAATCAAGATGAGAGCACAGATATTTCCGTTTGGTTAAAATACGGGGTTCAGACGGAAAGCAGAAAAAGGCAAAGTTGGAAAAAAATTGAAGCCAGACTGGGAAGGTCTTAAATAGCTGGGAAAAGGATCTGGACTGCTTTTGTAACTAAAGAGGAATGACTGAAAAGTGCTACAAATCCCACTGATATATAAACAGGGGGAGGAAACACCAGAATGATAGACAGATGGGACAGAATTAAAAACTGAAGAATTAAATAGGCCTTTATTTCCAGATTCCTTATTCTTATCCTTATCCTTATCCTTACCCTTATTCCTTATTCTTTTCAATTTTTGTTTTTCAAGTTTTAAGTGGATGACCACATTACCTGAGCAATAACATAAAGAATGGATCCCCACATAAACATACTTTAGTTTGGTAATATGGTTATTAAATTTATAGCAAAATCATTCTGTCGTGTTTCAGGATATAGAGAAACTGTGATTGTGCTATAAATAAATCATAAGGAACAGGAAGCAGGAAACTCCTCTGATACTCCTTTTAAGGTGTTTGCTATCCCACATCTCCGGCCAACATGTTCTAGAATCTTAAATAGTTCCTTCCCCACCTTCTTTTCAAGATTACTCTTTTTCAGCCCCTATCTCTGATAGACCTTCTAGGTCCCTTGCTCTACTAGCTTGCTGTCTGGAACCTTCAGGTTCAATCTATTAATATACTCAAAAAGTAGTCACTCTGATGAGAGGGACCACCGTGAACAATGTCTGCCTGCTTCACTGGAATCCTTGGACACAGCTGCACATGGACACAGCTGTCTTCTCATATGCCTGGGATACCTGAACTATGAAACTCCTCTTACTGGAGAAAGAAAAAAAAATCATAGATCTAGAAGCTCCTCAATATCTCTTCTTGCTCTTGCCAATTTGTCTTCCCATTCTTTGGAACTGAGGAAGTCAATTAATCAGGCCATAAATACAGTTCCTTCTGCAATCTTTCAGGACCAGAACTATGCACAGAACAGTCTGAGTTGAGTCATTTAACAAAAGGTAGTCACTGACCAAAAATATCTCCCTAATACAACCTGAAATCCACAAATTTGGAATTCATTTGAGTTAAAAAAACAAGCATGATCCTGGACAAGATAGGTGAAAGGAGACCTCACTACCAGGTTCTGCATTAGAAAAACAATCTGATTAATCTGTTCCAAAGGGAATAGGAGTTTGAGGGGAAACGATGAGAAAGAAAGACAAAGGGTAGAAAATCTGCAAGGTCATTTTGGAACATGGTGTATTTCCAAGAAGAAATCCAGGGAGAGTCAGAAAGAACGAAACAACAGAATGAGGGCACTGGGATCCCGAAAGGTAGAAAATAAAGGCTAGCCAAGCCAAAAGCTGGGAGCAAGGAAGCGCCATGGCTCAAAAAAAGTTTGGTGAATGAGCTCCAAAGTGTGACTTTGCCTTGAGCTACTGCCAAGGTCCTCATTTACTTCCAAAGGTTCAACACAGTTCTTGCTTTTTTTCCCCTCATGGGAGCATGCACAATGAGGTGGAATGTACCAGAACCTAGGTAGGGATGTATGAATAAATGAGGCGGGGGGGTGGCAGATGTGGAGCTAAAACCAAGAAAGAGAAGGTTTCAAAAATAAAGCCAAAAGAGTGGAACCCAAAGTAGGATCCAGTTCATTAAAATTGCAGGTGTTTGGGGACTTTTAAGTTTCCTATCCTAAGTTTTACTCAAACTGTTTATGCTGGAAATTCTGAGTATGCCTGGGTCAAAGAAATGTGTGATTGGTAGTCACCATTAAGAATTCACCAAGCTACAATAAAACTGCTGCACTTGAGCTCAGAAAATGAAAACTGTAATAAGGCAGAATTTGCCAAAACACAAACAGTGAAAGTTAGTTTCCCCATAAACATTTCCAAAACAGATAATTCTACTAATTATTTTCAAAAGTCCTTCAATCCAAGGGTAATACATGTGTCTTGAGTGAAAACACTCAAGAGTAATGGCATTGCCACCACAACACCTCCGTCTGACCCCTACTGCTGCTCACTCCCTGCTCAAGAGACATCCTGTCCAGCTGAAGGCTTGTCCCACAAGGCATGTTATTCTCCTTCCCTACAGAGCCAGTGACATGATTCTTCCAAGGTATATAAACTCTGTGTGCTCATCTCTAGCTTCTTAACCTATATGGACATAACTACCTCAATGTGTACTACTATCCCTCTGCCTTTTTATGTAGAAAAATATATTTCTAATCCTCTCCTATAGCGTGTGACCTTAAACCTTCCTAGCTCACTCCAGCTTCTCTCCAACTGACATGCCAGTAGCAGAGGCTCTCTGGAGGTTGAGAATTTGCCTCTCAGATATCTGACCCTACCAAACTGGGTACAGATTTTTTTTTGAGACGGAGTCTTGCTCTTTCGCCCAGGTTGGAGTGCAATGACGCGATCTCGGCTCACTGCAACCTCCGCCTCCCAGGTTCAAGCAGTTCTACTGCCTCAGCCTCCCAAGTAGCTGGGATTACAGGCACGTGCCACCACCCTCAGCTATTTTTTTTGTATTTTTAGTAGAGACCGGTTTTCACCGTGTTAGCCAGGATGGTCTCGATCTCCTGACCTCATGATCCGCCCACCTCGGCCTCCCAAAGTGCTGGGATTACAGGCATGAGCCACCGCACCTGGCCGGGTACAGATTTTTTTGTGTGTGTGGAGAGGGGCTTGTTTCTTCTTTGGGTACAGACTTTCTAAACTCATACCACTCCAAAATTTGGCAACAGCCCCCCAGATTTGAAAATTACAGTCACACTTTTATACTGGCTAAAATCCTTGCCTCTTTTTCCGCATCATTTGCTTACTCTCCAATGAATATTCTCAATATCCCCATTCTTTAGTAGTTCTCTCTTCTGCTTTAAGTGCGGCACTCTCCCCTTTATATGTGGCCAAGTCCCAATATCATTTTTTAGCAAACAGTCGCAAACCCTGTTCAAGATGTCATCATCCTTCTCAACAGATATTGCCATGTAAGTGAATTCTAATCTTGCTCTACTGAATCCTACGTAGGACTGATAACATTAGCCAGTTAAATTTGTACAAGTATCTGGCCTCTACCAAATGCTTTCATATTCATTTTCCTCTTCTCTGAGCCTCTCAACAACCCAGGGAAGAATGATTCTTCTTCCCATTTTCCAGGTGAGGAAACCACAGTTCAGCAAGGATTAGATGATTTATTCAAAGCCAAGCAGGTATTTAAACGCAAGAGTCAACACTCAAACTTCTATATTCAATCCAACTATTTCCCCATGCACATTTCTGAAAATAAACCTAGCTGCTAAGTAGGCCCCACACTTCTGGTGCTAGTCATACAGAGGCCGCTGCAAGCCCTCTGGTATATATAGCTCTGGTCTCTTGCACACCCTGGGTCATATTTTTGCTCTATTTGCCACACCTAGCACCAAGCCTTGACACACAAACTCACCTCACCCCACCCCTGCCAACTTCCCAGAGATCCCTACTTCTGTCAAATAAACAAAGTTCTTTTATTCTGCTCTGAACATGATCTTGCCCCTTCTTCACTGATATCTCTTCTGCCAGAGAAAGGACACAATCTTCCTCCCTTATCCAGTGACTTACTCACTCATACTCTGGCTCAGAAGCCACAAACTGTTAACCACAAACTCTGTATTATGGTTTTAGCTCCACGTTATCTGCCCTTCCCCTCTCCTGCTCTGTTGAAACTACCCATTTTAGAATGTAAGCTTCTGACCCAGAAGGCTCTATTTAACTAGCTGTGGGTACCACCTAGCACAATGCCTTGCATTCAGAGGCACACAAACATCAACAATTATGACCTTTTTCAAAAATAAATAACTCCTGTCCTTGATCTGAAATAATGACAGAAACCAGCTGCCAAAACCGCTAAGAGCATTATTTACCTCAATTCAGAATTTCTGAATAGGAATTAGCTTAAAATAGCTGTAAGTGAAAGACAAGGACATATTTGTTTACACACAGTCCCAAAGGTATAAAATGAAATACTGAGTAATTTATTATTAGTTTCCCATCACCAACGAAAGTCCAACTCTACTGCATAGCAAGGCCAAGCTGGGTAAGAGGATCCTAGTTACCAGCATTTCCATTATCAGAAGGAGGAGGCCAGCTATTCCAATCGCTTATGTGCTCTGGAAAAGCAACAGCTGGCCATGTCTTACTTACTGGCTTATCCTTGATGGTGGGGCTTGACACACACAGGTACAGTTTCCCATCTTCTTCCAGGCAGGCATCTATCAAAGCTTGTACTGAGCTTTCCTCCTGGAACAGCAGAAAGGCATAGCCTTGGGGAGAGCAAAAACAAAAGGGAGAATCAGTACATTAAACTCAAAGTACCAATTACAAACTATCTGTTGTTTCATTTTGGCAAATTTTACTAAATCGAAAAAGTTCAAGTGGGACAAAGGGACTTTGTCCAGGAACTAAGTTAGGTGCTCATTGATATTATCTTAATTTTTATAATTACTCACAGGAGCAAGTTTAGAACACATCTACGGAATTTCCACTAAATACATCTGGTTGTCCTTAATGAGGGCATGTGGACTCACCATTAGCCTTAGCCACAACTAACAAGTACCCAGGAAACAAGCACCACCTGCTTTCCAATTTCTACCAAGCTCTAGGCTGGCCACATGCCACAGGGATAAACCTTGAAAATATTATGCTAAGTGAAAGAAGCCAGACAAAATATGTCCAGAACCAGCAAATCTATCAAGACAAAAAATAGGTTAATGGCTGCCTAGGACGGGGAGGCTGGAGGGAATAGGCACTGAGTTTCTTTTTGGGATGATACATTTTCTAAAATTGATGGTGGTGATGATTGCACAACTCTGTAAACATGCTGAAAACCACTGACATGCACATGTCACATTGGTGAGTTGTATGGTATGTGAATGATATTTCAACAAAGCTTTTTTTAAAAAAAGCTAGAGCTTTTCTACCTAGAGTTTGGTAGAAATTGGAAAGTAGGAGGTGCCTGTTTCCTGGCTACTTGTTAGCTGTGGCTAAGGCCAATGGTGAGTCCACCTGCCCTCATTTTTTCTAAAAAGCTTTGTTACAAACACACACACACAAAAAGCTTCATGAAAAGTTTTCTAAAAGGCCAACAATAAGCTGGTGTGCTTTTGCATGCTATTTCTGATGATGGTGCTCTGCTTCTCTAAGGGATGCCCTCTTGGCAGAGTACAGTAGGTCTAGAAAAATGGATACTAGCTGCAGGATTTCCATAGACACAGCCAGTTTTGTTCAGTTTAATTCCATAAGATTTACCAAGTAACTGATGCAAGTGGGACATATCCATGGTTTATGAGAATACTAAAATGAGCAAGACCAGGTTCCTCTTTTTTTTTTTTTTTTGAGATGGAGTCTTGCTCTGTCACTCAATCTCAGTGCAGTGGCGCAATCTCTGTGGTATGATCTTCGCTCACTGCAACTTCTGCCTCCCGGGTTCAAGCGATTCTCAGGTCTCAGCCACCAAAGTAGCTGGGATTACAGGTGCCCGCCACCATATCTGTCTAATTTTTGTATTTTTAGTAGAGACAGGGTTTCACCATGTTGTCCAGGCTGGTCTCACACTCCTGACCTCAAGTGATCCACCCGCCTCGGCCTCCCAAAGTGCTGGGATTACAGGTGTGAGCCACCACACCTGGCCCCAGGTTCCTCTTGTAAAGAAACTTACGAAGTAGATGAAACATTTAGACAATTAACTACTCACTACAAAGCTGAGGGAGATAAGTGGGGGAAAATGTGTCACTGAAATCCTAAGGAGCAAAGGCCCAACTTGGGAGAATCAGCAAAGACTTTAAAGAGAGCAACAGATATTCAAGGGCCCACCTGTGGCACTCGTGGCCACACTGGCATTCATAAATGACGACTGAGCAAAGGCCCATCATGAACCAGTCTAAGCTTTCAACTTCTCTACAACCCTGCTAGCTTTGCTAAATCTCTCAGCTGTCATTCCTTCTGCTACTAACCTCAAAGGAACCATCATCAATAGTGTTCTCCTCTGGTACACTGCATATCAGAAGAATGTAAATGGCAGAGAAGGATAAGAATCCCCACATACAGAAGATTCTCACACAACAGAGGTGTTTAATTCATAATCAACTGGCTAAGAAGCAAAACTCTCTGGAGTCCTGGGCAACATGTAGTGACAGTGGCAATGGATAACGGCTATTCATTTTTAGCCTTTTCTCCAACTGCCCATCTACTACACAGAGCATCCAAGCAAATACAGCAGAAAAATAGACCAGCCACTCCCCAGCATAGCAGGCAGAAACTAACATACAGGAGAAGGCACCAAACTGAATGGGCAGCCATGTAGTTGCAAGAGAGAGACTGCCAAGGTTTTAGGACCCAGAGCTGTTTTCTGGGCTTTAGTCTCATGCTGCATAGGTCAGAAGATTCTGTTGGTGGCTAGTCAGGAAAAATAAAACCTGATTGCAAAACTAGAAAAGATAATAAATACATCATTTCTTCATATCCTCTTTTGCAAACAGTATTGAACTATCATCAGGTGCCAGGGAATCTTAAAAATTCAGTATTTTCACTTAATATGAGAACATTAATTCTACTTGCTAAAGATAATATTAGAAATAAGAGGGTTAAATAGTCCAAATATCACAAAGAGGAGGTCTCAGCAGGTTCTTTAAAACCTCCTGTCTTACCAGGTTAAATACTGGTACAGATATCTACAAAGATTGTAAGCATATTGAATATCCTGCAGTCAGAGTACCCATCTATGTATATACTGTATTATGTACACATCAAAAAGGCCTGGTGATAGGGCATGCCCAGTGAGTTGGGGCTTTCTCTTATTCCTTGCCTCAAGAAGGCCTCCAGGCTGACTCCATCTTTCCTGCACATCACTGCCCACCCTCTGCAATCTTCCACATCAAATCCAGTTTTGCATTGACCTTGGGCATCCAAAGAAAGGGCGGTTGTCTCCCTACAGCAGCTGAGTAGCTCCCACAAAAGCATGCAGATTTTCACTTAGGCCCATCTCACAGCCATAAAATATCTACACTGGCAGTAGACAGAGTAAAAACAACTGGGAGTCACAAGTAAAAGCCTGCTACAAATACTATTATCAAAAGAAATATCTACAAACAATTTTTCCTTTCCCAGGAAATGGTCCATAACAGTTTACCAACTTCTTCAGGATGGCTCTTTTACTATAAATAATACTGTGTCAAAACAATTATCTTTACTCTGAGGTCACCAAGCTGCCATTCTCTGCAACGGCAATATTCTCTCAGCACTGCAGATAAGAGATATGGCTGAACTCCCCCCAACCCCCAAAATCTGGGCTGTAGTCCAACAATTTCTTTCAACTCTACTTCCCACTTAGGCCTTTGAACCAAAACAAAATTCACCAGAAACACCCAAAATCACTCTTGAAAACAACTTTATGATATCTTCACCTGCTAAAACACCTTCTGATACTTCAAGTTCAAGCAAACCCAGATGACAACAGAAATCAGAGGATTTTTAAAAATCAGGAAGAATCTTTCAAACACATTTCCCTTTTGATCTTGAGAAATTTAAAGTCAAAGTAAATGAAGTAGAAAAAGATCCCTTCAAGAATAACAAGATCAATGTGAGGCAGAAATTCATTCAATGATTTACTAAAAGGTAAATTGCAAATGGTACTATGAAAAGCGTTCTGGACTAGGAGACAGAAGGTCTGAATTTGGGTACAAGTCCTAACATTTACTAGCTGTGTGATAATAACAGCTAATAGCTAACATTTGTTGAGATTTACTGTGTACCAGATACTGTTCTAAGTTAACTCATTTCATCTTCACACACAGTAGGCAGTAGGCCCTATTTTGAATTCTGCTTCATATTTAAGGAAATTACACAGAGTGATTAAGGGACTTGTTCAAGATCACCCAGTAAGTGGTAGAACCATGAACTTGAATATTAACATTTCTGAATCTTGGCTCTCTTCTCTGTCAAATGAAGAAACCAAATATTTGTCCCAATTACCATACAGAGATGTAGGTTGTAAGATAGCGTATACAAACGTATTTCATAAACTAGGGAGTTATGTGAGCATTGATTTTTCTTTTACTGCATTTTCAATTATTTCTGTAATAGATAAAATTAAAGTTTTTGCATATGGTCTCATTATAAACATTAGAATTCAAATTAATAATATGCACTTTCTATTTTGCATTTGCAAGCATTTGGTGAATAAAGAGAAGTAACCTAGATACTGAAGAAAAGCCCTAAAGTTACTTGAATGACAGGCTAAATATTACTGCAAACAAACAGTGGATGACTGAATATCTGCTTTCATACATGATTAGCCATTTCCCCCACGAGAATGTCAGATGTAGTATTATTTTCTGATTTTAATACATTTTTAAAGTAAAAGCCAATTATGCCTATAAATAGAGCTTCTCTATTAGTTTGAAAGGTATTAAAAAAAAAAAAAAAACTTGGCCAAAAAATTATCAACTTCCTCTGTTCTCTCTTGCCCTCTGACCCAGTAACAGATAATATGATTATAAAACTCTTCCAGTTTCAGAACTGGTAACCTGAGGAGTATGTGGGGGCTTCAGTGATGTGGTGAGCTATGAGAGGCCCTCAGCTCCAAGCCAGTCTATGAAGGCAGATGGCTCTGGAGGGAACAGGAGCAGTTCCTAGTCACTGTCACCAACACAACCCTGGGTTACAGGTAGAATGGATGGCCGAAAATTCCTTGCTTTCCCACTGATGCCAGACAGGTTGGGGAAGAAGGGTAGAATACTGAGGGATTTTTTTTCAACAATCCTAAATTGACGAATGCAATTTTCTGGGAGAAAAAGGAACACCAAGGTTTGGGGAGGAACTTAATTAGGATAATTCCATTTCATTGACCAGGTGTGTGAAGTGTAAATTTAATTAAAATGTTTTTTTTCTTTTTGTTTATTTGAGACAGGGTCTCACTCTGTCACCCAGGCTGGAGTGCAGTGGTGCGATCTTGGCTCACTGCAACCTCCGCCTCCCAGGTTCAAGCAATTCTCTGCCTCAGCCTCCCGAGTAGCTGGGATTACAGGTGCCTACCACCATACCTGGCTAATTTTTGTATTTTTAGTAGAGACAGGGTTTCACCATCTTGGCCAGGCTGGTGTGGAACTCCTGACCTCATGATTCACCCGCCTCGGCCTCCCAAAGTGCTGGGATTACAGGCATAAGCCACCACGCCTGGCCGATTTTTTTCTTTTAATACCTGAGAACACATTAAGTATAACAACCTCTAAAACATTCTTGGCTACCTTTCAAAAACAAAGGTTCC